TTTTTTTCAGCCGTTTCAGAGTTTATAATGGGTGTGTATGGGACGGAATGCTGGGGCTAGAGTGAGACAGCTCAACTGCTAGAGTGAGAGGAGCGAAAAAATTAATCTTAAAATCTTTTTTAAAAACTGCTGCTGTGTCCGCAGCGTTTGCTCTACAGGTATGATTTTACCCTCAAAACGTAGCCATCGCTGTCCTGTTTCATCCAATGTGTTTACTATTGTACTAGGTGTTATGGTTCTTTCATAAATGTCACCAATGCACAGCCTCCTCCCTCCAACTCTTCCATAGACTCTAATGTTAAAATGGCTCAGAAAGTTTGTCTGAAAATCAGAAGTACAGGCTGCCTTTACACTGTCACCACGTCCATATGATAAACTCCACAGGCGTGAAAACTGAGAATTCAGTAGACTAGACATTGCTGCCACTCACGTTGAAAGAATTTTCTCAATACGACTTTTACTTTTCATTTGGGAACGATTTGTTTCGGGCTGATGTTTCTGTTCATTTTAAGCAGCACAAGTGAGGCGCATGTCTGTGTGCGTGTGTCCGGAACCATAGGGTGCAGTCACTATAGCAACCAGGCTCACACCTGCCTCCTTAACGAGCTCAATCTTTGTCTGCCAAGGTTAAATGTAAAATGTCTGTTGCATCTAAGCAGTTGTAATAAGATTGACTTTTTCAATAGGTACAATAAGACAGATTTGACAGGGTTTTGCCACAGATTAATAGTTTGTCAGTAGTTAGTATATGCCAACTGAGTAGAGCATTGTGATTGGCCTGTTAAATTCAAGCTTATTGTTTAATGGTGGTCTTCTGCACACAGGTGTGTGCAGTTGGAGTCAGTTGATGACTTTAAAATCATCTTTTCTGACTTGATAATTAAAGCTCACAACATTTACCTGTCTGTAGTTGATTTTCCCACATTTTAACTAACTTTTACTAATCTAATCTCATTTAATGTCTCTGTTTATAGTCTGTATAGTTTATCCCTCCACTAACACACTTAAAATAGTCTTAAAAT